CTGTGATCTGTCAATGTCCTGGGAAAAATTTTAACATTCTTTACCTAAAGTATAAATCAGTTGTAATCAAGAAAAAATCAATTCTTGAAAAAGATTTATGTCTATCTGAAAAAAAGGTGAAGTCTCTCTCCTCCTGGTTATGTTCACACCAATAATCTCGTAGCTCCCAGTCTTCCTTCAAATCAAAAAAAGCTTTAGGTAGTTTAGCCTGTTTAAAGGAAATAGAAGATCCTTTTTTGTCCCTTTGTGTATCTAAAACACCATTCCAATCTCCCATTAATATAACAGATCTATAATCCAACAAAGTTAATTTTTGATGTAGCAATCTATAGAATTGTCCCTGTTGTTTGTTGGTGCATAAAGTCCCGCTATAAGTACTTTCTTTCCATACAAACCAACTTCAATCATAACAAATCTCCCTTGAGAATCAGATTCCACAAAACTGGCTACTAAATTTTGCTTAACATAGATAACTACTCCCCCTTTTTTCCCAGGAGCTGAAGATACAAAATGCGATCCCAAACAAGGATTGAAAATTTTTGATCTTTAGGTATAATATGTGTTTCCTGCAACCAAATAATATCATTATTATGTTGCTTTAAATAATGGAAAATTTTCTTTCTCTTTTGGGGAGAATTGAGGCCATTAGCATTCCAAGTCAGGAGCTTTACCATCTCCCTTGACCAGAAGCCTGGAGAAGACTGCTTGGAGGTCTGCCATTGAAGAATGTACTGCAGAACTCTTGGGTCTTGCTCCTCCCACCGGTAACGAAACAATTTCTTGAAGAGATTCTTTATCTTCTTTCTTCTGTTGTTCCTTTTCCTTGCGTCTATGTGCTGCACGAGTCATTCTTTGATCTTTGATCTGTTTGTTGCAACCACTGTGGCTGTAGCTTTCCAGCAACCATCACTCCTGCTCCTTCAGACTGCTGTTCCACCTCTTTGCCATCCAAAACTTTCTGCATCATGGATGATGGTGAGCCTGCTCCCAGGACCGAGCTATAAAATTCTTTTGCTTTAGAAACTTTATTTAGTCTGTAACGGGTCCCCGCATGGCTCACAACAATACCCATCGGAATTTCCCATCTAAATGGAATCAATCTTTTTTTAAGCTCATTAGCTAAAAAAGCAAACTCTTTTCTCTTTCTTAAAATTTTAGATGGGATCTCCTTTAAAATAATGACATCTTGGGCAGCAATCTGGAACCTCTTATTATAGAAGGCTTGTATGATTTCATTACACAGAGATCTCTTTGCAAAGTAAATCACCATATCTCTTGGTAAATTTTTTTGTTTAGCAATCCAGGAGTTAACTCTATAAATTTTTTCAACTTCTCTGAATATTTCCTCTTTCTCTCTATTCAAAATAACAGCAAAGTCATTTACAAGAATCTCAATCAGATCTTGCTTGTCCTCTTTCAGGTCCCTGATTCTTAATGCATGTTCCATCTCTCTATACTGGGACATAAGAATATCCTCTTGTGACATTTCCATCTTTCTCTCCATGCCTTCAAACTTTTCTTCCAACATATCCGCCTTCTCTGCCACTTCTTCAACTCTAGAGTCTAATTTCTCAACCACAGAAGCAAGTCCTGTTAAGGCCATAACTATATCCTGCCTCAAAATAGTATTATTCTGTTCTAAAAGATTCTTCATTTCTCCTCTGATTTGAGTTTTATTCTGATCTAAGAGCTCCTTCATTTCCCCCCTGATTTCAGTTTTATTCTGATCTAAAAGCCCCTTCACTTCCTCTCTGATTTGAGATACAGCACTTCCCATTATATCTTTCATATCTTGTACCGTTACTGCTGGCAGAGGAGGAGAAGGTGGTGATGTAGCTTTAGGTTGTTGTACCAGTAGGATCGCTGGAGAAGAGGCCACCTTAGAAACTGTAGCAGCTGCTTGCCTCTTTGAAGCCATTTTCAAATAGGTCTTATTTCTTCTTTCTTCCTTCTTAAAAATAAAAGTAAAGTAATCCTCAAAAAAAAACAAAGGAGAGTTTAAAAGGAAAAAAAAAACACCAAACACAAATCCAGCTTCAAAAAAAAAGTTTTTTTTAAAAGAAAACTGTTTAATCCATAACGTTTCAGTCACTTTCTTCCGGAAAGAAAAAAAAAAAACACTTCAAATCGCCATTTTACTTTCACTCTCCAGACAAAGAAAAAAGACAAAAAAAGTAAAAAGATCACATTTCAAACTAAAGTCCAATTAAAGTCCAATAAATCCAATCCTTTATCCAGCTCTGTCCGCTTTTAAAATAACTCACCAGGCTCCTTTAAACGCGGAGGTGGCCGCAGCGTTTTGCTTTGATCCCGAAGGATCAAAGACAGCTGGGAGGCGGAGACACCCGAACTCCGAGGGAACTCTCTTTTCACCCCCCCTAAAAAAATTCTGGGGGGGTTAAGAGGTTCTACCTCTATTCAGGTGATACTCCTCTCCCCCCCTTCACCCAGGAGGGAGATTTTAAACCGCTGAACAGCTGATGTCTGCTGTTCTCCGCGGTTTTCATGCTTCTCCCAGGAGGACGGCTACAAAGTAGCCACCATCACCGGCGCGAACCACCCTAAATTTAATCATTTTATGACCATGCTCCACCGTGGTTTGTGGACCTCCTGGCTGAAGAGAAAGCCAAAGACTGCATTAAGACCGTGAGGCAGCACCATAGAGCTGTGGTGGAATACACTGAGGAATTCCATGATCTGGCATGCCGCTATGATTGGCCAGAAGACATCCTCACCAGCTGTTTCAAAGGTAGGTTGAATGATGACCTTTACAATGCCTGCGTGGCTGTGACCCTACACAGCTGGGGGGTGCTTGCTGAAGAAGTTGAGATCGATCAGGCTCAAAATAAGTACCAAGCAGCAAAATCCTGGAAGAAGACTCCTTCGGGAAAAAAGAAAACGCGAAACTCCAACTTTCACCAGCCAGGTGAAGGTTGAAGTGTGGCCAAGGGCATTCCTTTCAGCATGAAGCATTGCAAAGCTATTTTTGCATCACGTTTATCAGCTACATAGAGCACCTCAATGTATCATCTCCAATAGAAGAGTACAGTTCACCTCCAAATTTTGGAGAGCCTTTTTGGACTTGTTGGGGGCAGACCAGAGGCTCAGTTCTAGTTACCACCCTCAAATGAATAGGGATTGTGAACTAATGAACTCAGTATTTGAACAATACTTTAGATGTTTTATCAATTATCAACAAGACAATTGGACAGAACTTTTGCCATTTGCAGAGGTGACATATAATAACTCTATACACAGTAGCACTGGTTTTACCCCTTTCTGAGTGGGTACTGGTCAAGACTTCAAGCCTATGCCTGAGCTTTCTACTGGTGACCCAGGAGTGCTATCCTTGAAAGAATGGGTCTCTCGGTTGCAGAACACATGGCCCATTGTGAGTAAAGTGCTGGCGGAAGCCTGCGATGCTTATAAAGCACAAGCTAATAAAAAATGAATTGAGCCAAAACCTTTTAAAAGTCGGAGAGAGTGTTTACTTGTTCACTTGTTATTTCCAATCACTTCAACCCTCTAAGAAACTAGGACCTAAATATGTGGGCCCTTTCCCCATAAAGCGCCTTATTAACCATGTGACTATAGAGTTAGAATTGCTAAAATCACTTTGACAAGTTCATCCCGTTTTTCATTGTTGTTTGTTGAAGCCTGAAGTTTCTTCGCCCCTTAGACCAGCTCTTCCTACTGTCCAACAACCTGTTATGATGGAGGGGCAACATTTTGAGGTGAAGGAAATATTGGATTCACGAAGACAAAGGGGGAATCTTCAATATTTAGTAGCATGGCAGGATTTCCCTGCTGGCCAAAACAAGTGGGTGGATTACAAGCATGTTAGGGTCCCTAGATCAGTGAAATGTTTTCATAATCAATATCTTGATAAACCAGAGTGATTGTTTTAATCTTTTCTTTTTCTTCTCTCCCTTTTTTATAGGTTGATCCCTTTTTGGGGGGAGACAGCATGTCAGGTCCCCTTTTACAGGTGTCCTGCCATTCTGGTGGAGGAGGCCCACTTTGGGGAGGCATTCTTTGCATACTTTCGCTTTTGCTGTAACACTGTAGTTGCTTGGAAAATAGGGAGGAGGATCGCCTTCAGAGATGGGATGGACTCCTTCCCAACTGGTTTCAGCCTGCTATCAAGGTTGCTATGCCCCGAAGATGAATCGCTATTTATCCTGGGCTTTGATGTCCTTGTGGCACTCTATTGACTGCCGGTGGACTGGCCAGGGGGGCTGGGTTTCATTGTGGGAAGAGTAGCTTGTTGCTTTGTGCAGGAATATTAGATTCCACTTGGTTCTACTGAAACCACTACCTCTCAGTAAAAATTCTTTTGATTAACTACATGGAGTCAAGAGTCATGCTTTCCTGAGGGGGATTGCTGGGGGAGGTCCTACTTGGATTACAGATTCTACTCCTAGGGCTATTCTGTTTAACACAAGTCTTTCTAAAAGTTTATAGGTAACACAGAGAAGAGCAATTGGATGTAATTTTGGGGAAAGTTTGGATTCTTTCCTGGTTTCAAAACTGCAATAATTTTGGTCTTCTTGAATATAGTAGGAAGTCATCCTGAGTATAGTATGGAACTAAAAAAGGAAGCAAGCCTACATTTAGTAGCTGGTCCACTGTTCTTTAGTACTTCTTGGAACATATCATCAAATCCTGCAGCCCCCTCTACACTTTTTTGGCTGTAAATGGGTATGAATATAAAGCACGTGGTAGAAGATCATGCTTCAATAGTCTAAGTTCAAAGCTAATTTATCTGGCAAATTTCTTATATCTTGTTGTCCTTGAAGTAGAAACGAGATGGTTAGCTATGCATTCCATGTGATAGTAGAATGTTTTCTTGAAGATATGGACGATGACTCCAGTTTTCAGATAAGGGATCAGACTTAAAATAATTCCTCCCAATTAGAAATCTAACTTTATCTTCCAAGGACCATTCAAAATGTGGGAAAAGTTATAGAAGCTATAACAAGGGTTTAAAAAAATCTTACCTGTTTTAGCTCCAGCGGAGCCAGAATCGTCCCCACCTAAAAGAATAGTTTGGTTAAAGAAGGTTTTTTTACATATCATAAAGTCATACTATGCAAGATAGAAAATGGGCTACCTTTTGGTAAAAAGTAAAATAGAAGCCAGGGGTTTTTATGAAATAATCTTGATGCATGTTTGAAATCAGGAGTTCTTCCAAACTTTTCAGTTCAAATGGGATGTTTCATATTTGAAACAGTTTAAATCAGTATGTTCTACGTCCCACTGCTTAAAACCAAGCCTTAAGCCTTAGTGTATATTGCTTGAAAAGAGTATGGTATTTTTTTCTGAAGTGTTCCTCATTATTGCAATTACTCAGATATGTTCCAATATGTTTATAAGCTACTTTTAAAGTTAAAACTTTTAAATTTCTTACATGAATTCTCCATCACAAAATTGTAGAAAATGACTGCTTAAGTCAATGAACTTAATTCCCCTTCTAAGGGCAGGAATTTAGATTAAAATGTGCTTGACAGCTTAGCTTGAATTTTAGTTTTAGAGGCAAATGGCATGCCACTAAATAGCAAAAATACTATATACACTAAAATAGCAGAAATAATATTTCCACTTGTGCAACCGAATTACCTCTGATGGATCACCCACAGTCAAATCAAATTAATATGGCAAAATAAGGCACTAAATTAACTACATATGTTTGCTCTGAAGGAAGACCATTGCTTCAAATATATAGGAAAAAGCACTCTCACTGTCTAGTTTCAGTTTGAAGTTATATTCTTATTTCATCTGTGTTTTGCACCAACTACTTTTATTTATGATACAAATATTCTAGTAAAGTTGATATAATCAAAAATGATTTAATAGGTCATAATAGCCATACATCCCATCAATTCTTTTTTTTAAATTTCCTTTATGCCTGAAATAGCATGTTTGTGAGCTACAATTAAATAGTCTATGTGTCTTATTGTGGCTGCTTGACAACCATGTCTTATTAAACATACAATATATTATTATTTTTAATTAACATTATTAAATAGGTTATAAAAATGAATAATAAGTTAAGCTTATATGAATTAAAATATTCTTGTTCTGTAGCTGCCTATAAAATATTAAGGACTGCCCTTACAGTATTAAAAAACATGATGGCTTTATGTAAACAAGTTTAAATTGACCTTCTTCATTTTAAATGAAGGAGCAAGATTTTACTGAATTGTTAACACATGTAAATATCATCCAAAACAAATGAATACAGTAAGAAAATGAAGGCAGTAAGAAGTATCTGATGCACCAGTTTTGAAGAAGAGTTTAGTATAAGAAAAAAAACATATGCTGATAACAGCCTATATACCTGAGAAAGGGTTAGAAGCACAGCCTAGATTTTAAAAATGTGTATAATAATATGAGAAGCAACAGTCTCATTATGACCAAAACACTCAAATTACGCTCAGAGATATAGCTGAAAATTAAATAATAAGTTTTTATTAGTTGTACATGCAAACCTACACATGAAATGAGGAGCTGGTCCTACAAAGTAGCAATACAAGTAGACCTAGTTTAGTGGTCTACCTGTTTTGCTTGTACAGAGACTATTTATAGTTACAACAATAAGGAAAAAGTAACTTTGTGACCAGTCCTTGCATTTGAAGTTTGTAAAGCAAAGGAAAGCTGAAGTAAGCATATAAACATTGTGGTGGTTTCATTTAGCAACTATTTCACTTACAACCAAGTTACTGGTCCCAATTGTGGTTGCTAAATGAGTATGACCTGTAAAACACTGCTCTGCTTATATGTTTTATAAAAGCAACTCCAATCTTTTTTAGAAAAAATCATGCTATTAAAAATATGAGAAGCATCGAAGTTATAAAGAAACATTATAGTAAGCAATTCAACATATTATCAGACCCAAGCAACGTATCACACGCATGTTAGTATAGGGACTGCAGTGAGTGCTCCTTTGCAGCAACAGTTCTGTCAGCCTATATTTTTGTATTCATTTATCTGTGAGCAAATCCTATGGAGCGCAATGGGACTTTTAAACAATATTGTGTAAGACTGCACTGTAATGGCTGCATTTGACCATATTTCTAGAAAAAAATATATTTTTAGAAAAAAATATGAATATAAAGACCGATTGTCTGATTTAAGGTCACTTTTTCAGCATTCTTAGTAAATATTATTCAACATGAAATGTTTATTTATTTTTATTTTATTTATATACTACTTTAGATTTTGGAAAAGATGAGTATTAAAAAAAAATATTTTACCTAAGGCGGAATAAACTAAAATTTTTACACTGGAGCACACACACAAGAGGTAATAACAACAACAACAACAACAACAACAACAACAACAACAATAACAATAACAATAATAATAATAATAATAATAATAATAAAGTTGGAAGGGACCTTGGAGATCATCTAGCCCAACTCCCTGCTCAGGCAGGAAACCCTGTACCATTTCGGACAAATGGCTGTTCAGTCTCTTCTTAAAAACTTCCAGCATTCACCACTTCTGGAGGCAGGTTGTTCCACTGGTTAATTGTTCTAACTGTCAGGAAGTTTCTCCTTAGTTCTAGGTTGCTTCTCTCCTTGATTAGTTTCCATCCATTGCTTCTTGTCCTGCCTTCAGGAGCTTTGGAAAATAGCTTGATCCCTCTTCTTTGTGGCAGTTCCTAAGATATTGGAAGACTGCTATCATGTCCCCCCTCGTCCTTCTCTTCATTAAACTAGACATACCCAATTCCAGCAACTGTTCCTTATATGTTTTAGCCTCCAGTCCCCTAATCATCTTTGTTGCTCTTCTCGGTACTCTTTCTACAATCTCAACATCTTTTTTACATTGTGGTGACCAAAACTGGATGCAGTATTCCAAGGCATTGTAATGTGGTATTAACACTTCACATGATCTTGATTCTATTTCTCTGTTAATGCAGCCTAGCACTGTGTTGGCTTTTTTGGCAGCTGCAGCACATTGCTGGTTCATATTTAAGTGATTGTCCACTAGGACTCCAAGATCCCTCTCACAGTTACTACTATTGAGCAAGGTACCCCCTATACTATACCTGTGCATTTGGTTTTTCTTGCCTAAATGTAGAACCTTAATTTTTTCAGCATTGAATTTCATTTTGTTAGATAGTGCCCAATGTTCAAGTCTGTCCAGATCCTCCTGTATCTTAAGCCTGTCTTCTGGAGTGTTGGCTATTCCTGCCAGCTTGGTGTCGTCTGCAAATTTGATGAGTTCCCCATCTATCCCCTCGTCCAAATCGTTGATGAAGATGTTGAAGAGCACTGGGCCCAGAACAGAGCCCTGGGGCACCACACTACATACTTCCCTCCAGGTAGATGTGGTTCCATTGAGGACCACACGCTGAGTATGGCCGGTCAGCCAGCTATGAATCTATCTGGTGGTGATGCTGCCTAACCCACATTTTTCTATCTTATCAAGTAGTAGATTGTGATCTACTTTATCAAATGCCTTACGGAAGTCCAAGTAAATTATATCCACAGCAGTCCTTTGATCCACTAATTTTGTCACTTGGTCAAAGAATGCAATAAGATTTGTCTGGCATGATCTCTTTTTGACAAACCCATGTTGGCTTTTAGTAATGACTTTGTTTGCTTCTAGGTGTTCGCTGATTTGTTGTTTGATTATCTTTTCCAGAATCTTCCCAGGTATTGAGGTCAGGCTGACAGGTCTGTAATTTCCTGGATCCATTTTTTTTCCCTTTTTTGATGATGGGAACTACATCAGCTCTTTTCCAGTCCTCTGGTAGTTCCCCAGTGCTCCAGGATCATTGAAAAATATAGTTCAGTGGTTCTAAAATCACATCTGCCAATTCCTTGAGAACCTTGGGGTGTAATCCATCTGGTCCTGGTGATTTGAACTCGTCTAGGCAGGACAGGTGCTCACTTACCATTTTCTAGCCTATCTTGTGTTTCTGTTCTGTTTTTTATGGCACTATTTTTGATAGGCTGGTCTATTTTTTCCCTTTGTGTAAAGACAGATGCGAAAAACGAGTTAAATAGTTCTGCTTCCTCCGTGTTGCTTGTCATCTTCTTGCCATTTTTACCCACTAATGGACCAATAATTTCCTTCACTTTTTTCTTGGTTTTTGCATGTTGAAAGAAGCTTTTTTTGTTATTTTTGACTTTGGTCACAAGCCTTAGTTCATTTTGAGCCTTAGCTTTCCTCACTTCATCTTTGCAGGCTCGGGCTATTTGCTGTATTCTGACTTAGTTATGTGCCCCCCTTTCCACTTTCTATACTTGTCCTTTTTATCTTTCTGTCAGAATCCAATTATATTTCATCTCTAGTTATCAACTATAGAAAACACCATTTCTGCCTTCTCTGGATTCTGTCATACGATGAAGGGAAGGGGGTGAACAAAGGGGCTTTATGGCCCTCACTTCCTTCCTTGAGACTGTCGCTGGAAGAAGGGGGTGATTGGGTGGGGCTACTGGGGAACCCCTTAAAACCTTGAATGGGAGAGCTCGGACCCCAAGTCCTGTCTAGAACACCTGCAACCATTTTCTCTTAATAAAGGATGCCTGTTGGAAGAACTATTCCAAGAGTTCTGTCTTAAGATGCAAAGTGGGGTGGGTCCTTACATTTTCAATTTATCAGAGAGTTCTTTATGCAGCCATGCTGGTTTCTTTTGAGAGCTGTTACTTTTCCTCTTTGTTGGTATTGTGCTGGACTGGGCTTTTATTATCTCACTTTTCAACATTTCCCAAGTTTTTTGAGTTGTTTTCCCCTTGAGGATTCTCATCCATGGAATCATTCCCAAGCCCTCTCTTTATTGAAATTAGCTCTCTTAAAGTCCAAGACTCTAGTTTGACTGTGTTCTATTGCTTGTACTTCCATAATGTTGAATTCCAATATTGCATGATCACTTCCTCCCAAGGTTCCTGTGGCTTTAATTTTGTTCCAATAAACAAATAAACATAATATAATGAATGGACTGAATGCGAATCAAATCTTAATAACTGAAATCCTGGGTAATATATTTTTATGAACACACATTACAATATTTTCATATTTTCCCATTTTAAATAGAGTGAATACTTAAAACATACCTGATTGTGGGTTCTCAGGTGGCAAGTTACCATCTAATAAATCTGAATCTTCAAATCCTTTAATAAAAACAAAAGGAGTAAAAGCAATTTTTATATATATCATATGGACCGGTCTGACTGATTGCACCTTGGCATTTTTGACTGCTATACTGCAGTTCTATTTTTATAATCACTTTTGCCTTGCTGCCCCCCATACTAGGGGCATTAAGCAGGCTCAAGTTGCTACTGCGATACATTACAAATTCAGATTTCTTTTTGTCAGCAAAAATACATACACACACACACACACACAGAAACATCAATTTACATAACGCAGTTTTACATACCGTATATGCCAGCATATAAGGCGACTTCCGCAAGCGCTAAAATCGGCGCCAAAGACGGGGGTCATCTTATACGCCGGAAATACTGGTAGTTTCCGGCGTATAAGACGACGTTCTAGGAATGCGGCTCGGCGACAAAGATGGGGGTTGTCTTATACACCGGGTCACCTTGTACGCTGGCATATACGGTAATTTCCATTAAGAATCTTAACTATATCTCAAACTCATATATTATGTTGCTTAGATAGATTTTAAATTTTAAATCTACCTAAATACTAAAAATGTTTCTGAATTAATAATGTATTCATAATTATGAATATATAGGGGTCAAGAAAACAAAATATTATTTTGCATGTGAATTGTGCAAATCCTTTGAAATGCTACACTAACACTCAGAATTTAGGGAACAAAGTGAACTTGAAGCATTAGTACATGAAGGCAGATATGATATAATTGCCATTACTGAAACTTGGTCGGATGAAACTCATGATTGGAATGTACTGATGGAAGGATACAAACTATTAAAAAGAAACAGACCTAAGAAAAGAGGAGGTGGTATTGGCTTCTGGTTCTGTGCAGCTAGCACCACAGCTGAGTGATTGTGAAGATCTGAGCCCTACGGCTGATTTCTCTCTGTTTGGGGACCCTAAATGGGCCCAAAGCCACCACAGAGAGGTGGCAAGTAAGGAGGCAAGCCCCTCCGATCCTGGAGAGACGGTGGTCAATCTGGACATCCGGGGAAAGCTCTCCAAAAACCTACAGAAGGCTAGCATCATTCATTAATCTAGCCCAAGCTACATGCAGCTGAAGCCAAAAAGCACTAAACTAAGCATGATTTTAAACAGCATGAGCAAACTGGGTAAGAATATTGATTCTCTCTTTTCTACCTGACTGATTTCCTGGAAAAAAAAAGAAAAAAAACCCAGAAGTAAAAAAATCCTCTGAAAGTGAGGGGGGGTCTTTGTTCCACCCTCCTCTAAACGGAAGCGGCGAATTAAGTTTACAGGGGAAAAATACAGAAAATTGAAAAATGGACTGGTGTTGACATCTAATTGTGGATGAAAATACTGCCCTAAATATACAGCTCAGAAAGGAAAGCCTGTTGTGACCTTCAGGGCTTTGATTAAATAAAGAGCAGCTGTAACAAAAGGAAAGAAAACATTGTGGACTATCTACAAAGTGAGAACTATAAAACCTAGAAAAAATTGACTTTCCTGGATTATAAATATTTTTTAATTTCTGACTTTAAAGTGATTAGCAGAGAAAGGATTTTTGGTCATTATGGAGCATCAGAGATCTGCAGAAAGAACATATCAAGAAAAAATAAATACTTACCAGGAGGAACTATATGTTCTGTTACAACAAATGCAAATGATATTACTTTCAAACCATGAGAAAATTAAAAATGAATTTGAAAATTTAAATGAATGCATTCTCAATTTAACGTCACAACAATTAAATGATCAGAAAACAAAAAGAGAGAGAGAGATCATGTAAAGCAGACAACTGAATATAAACTAGTGGAGATTCAAATGGAGAAGGACTTACAAGAAACATTGAACATGGAAAAGATACTGTAGCTTATACTCTAAGACCACAAAGTAAATTTGAGGATAAGGAAAAAGATTTGACAAAACGGATTGCTGAGCTGTTGGGAGTACTACAAGAAATGGGGAGACATTTATATATATATTTAATTATAAGAGGTTTTTTGTCTTCTCTTTTTTCTGCTTTTTTTTCTGGTCTTTTGGATTTTTTTTTTTTGGAGAAAAGTTTTTTCTAAAATGGCTTCAAAGTGTCAAGCAACTTCTGCAGTGCCTAAGGTGGCTTCCTCTCCGGCAATACTTACAGTGCAACAACCTAAAGCTAAATCACCACCACCTTCCCTGCCGATACCAACACTTACGGTAAAAGACATTCAAGATGTTATGGGGAATGTTGTTTGTCAAATTAGACAAGAAATGAAAGAACTTTTGGAAGAGAGAAATAGAGTTATGAGGGAGGACATAGTAATGGCTCTGAAAGGACTCGCCTCTGTTGTTGAAAAGCTGGACAACCGTATTGATGATGTTGTTGATAAAGTGGATTTATTAGAAGATCGTGTTGAAAATGTCGAAAAAACAGTGGAGATTTCACAGGATGAAATTCTTATGTCTCAGTATAGAGAGATGGAACTTGCTTTGAGAATCAGAGGCTTGAGGGAAAACATGCAAGAGAACTTGAGGGAGGTGGTGGCAAATGATATTGCTGTGATACTTGAGAGGGAACCAGAGGACATATTGAGGGAAATAGAGAAAATATTTAGAGTCAATTTTTGGATTGCAAAGCAGAGAAATTTACCAAGAGATGTGGTGGTTTATTTTGGAAAAAGATCTCTACGTAATGAAGTGATACAAGCATTTTATAATCAGAGATTTCAGATTGCTGCTCAGGATGTGATAATTTTAAAGGAGATTCCATCTAAAATTTTAAGAAGAAGGAAAGATTTTGCCTTTTTATCAGAGGAGCTTAAAAAGCGGCAGATTCCATTCAGATGGGATATTCCAATTGGAATTGTGGTGAGCCAAGCGGGGACATGTTATAGACTTAATACAGTTGCAAGGGCTAAAGAGTTTTATATGTCAGTCCTGGGAGCACGCTCACCACCATCCTTACGTTTCAAAGTTCATGAAGTGAAAGAGGGAGAACAACTGGTTGAAAATGCTGCTTTAATGAAAGCTGGAAAATCACAAGCTGTCCAGCAGTCTGTTGAGGTGAAAGAGCAGAGAATGACCCGAGCAGCTCACAGACGAAGAGAAAAAGAGCAACATGAAATGGATACAAAAGAGTCTACTCAAGAATCGGTTTCTGAGCCTGTGGGAGGAGCAAGACCTAAGAGATCTTCGATTCGATCCTCGATGTTAGATCTTCAAGCAGTCTTCTCCAGGCTTGCAGCTGGAGGAGATGGCAAAGCTCCTGACCTGGAATGTTAATGGCTTAAATTCTCCTCAGAAACGGAAGAAAATATTCCACTATTTGAAGCAACATAATAATGACATTGTTTGTTTACAGGAAACTCATATTACTTTGAAGGATCAAAAATATTTGATAAATGCCCGATTGGGCTCTCATTTTGCATCTTCTGCTCCAGAGAAAAAGGGGGTGTTGTTATGTATGTTAAGAACAACGTGTCAGCTAAATTAATAGATTCAGATTCTCAAGGAAGATATGTTATGATTGAAGTAATGTTATATGGAAAGAAATTGCTTGTAGTGGGTTTGTATGCCCCTAATCATCAACAAGAACAGTTTTATAAGTTTTTATATCAAAAATTGATTTTGTTGGATTATAAATCTGTGATTTTGATGGGAGATTGGAATGGTGTTTTGGATACATATAAAGATAAGAAAGGATCTTCCACTTTCTTCAAGCAAGCTAAATTACCAAAGGCCTTTTTTGAACTGAAAGAAGATTTGGAATTGACAGATATTTGGCGGGAGCGCAACATAGATGATAGGGACTTTACTTTCTTTTCTGATAGGCACCAATCGTTTTCAAGAATTGACTTTTTCTTGATTACCACGGACTTATACTTGACTGTTAAAAATGTAAAAATTTTTCCAAGGACACTTACTGACCACAGCCCTGTATGGTTGGAACTAACTCCTGAAAAGGAGGAAAGGAGATCATGGAGGTTGAATGAAAATCTATTTAGATATGAAGTGAATGTACTGAAACTTAGAGAATATCTAAAGGAATTTTTTACTTTAAACATGTCTAAGGGAACTTCAATGGCAATGGTTTGGGATGCAAGTAAGGCCTATATGCGGGGTTTTTTGATTCAAATGAATAATTCTTATAGGCGAAAACAAATGCAAAAACGTAAAGAATTGGAGGAGGAGATTAAAATAAAAGAAAAAATATTAATTATGAATCCTTTGGATAAGAATGTTAAGGCTTCTATAAATTTGCTTAAATCACAATTTAATATGTTAATGGCTGACCAGGTTGCAACCAACTTAAGTTTTATGAAACATAATACATTTTGTAATGCAAATAAACCAGGTAGGTGGTTAGCTTATCAGTTAAGGAAAAAACAGAGGTCGAGAATTATAGATAAAATAAATTATAATGGTAAAGTGGTTTTTCAGAAAGAATTGATAAAAAAAATCTTTTATAGATTTTTATACAAAATTATATATGGGCCAGAAGGTTCAGAGTTTGGATATAGATAAATATCTACAAGATGCTCATTTTCCTAGACTAACAAATGATCAAAGAGAAGAGATTAATGGGCTAATCACTTCACAGGAAATTGTTAAGGCAATTAAACAATTAAAAGTAGGTAAAGCACCTGGCACGGATGGATTGACATCAATTTATTATAAAACTTTACATGAGGAGATGATTGAGCCTTTAAAGGAACTTTTTAATAGTATCTTATTAGGCTTGGAGGTACCTCCATCTTGAAGAAGGGCTTTTATATCTTTGATTCCAAAAGAGGATCAAGATCTTACTCTACCTAAGAATTATAGACCTATATCTATTTTGAATACAGATTATAAAATTTTTTCGAAGATCTTGGTGAATAGATTCATGGTTGTACTGAGTCAAATTATACACACAGACCAGACTGGTTTTATAACTGGGAGGTATATGAAGAATAATGTTAGACAAATTATTAACTTAATTGAATATTTGGACAAAAACAACCAGATCTCTGCGGGTTTGATCTTTTTAGATGCGGAAAAAGCTTTTGATCAGTTGAATTGGCGATTTATGCTGAGATTGGTTGAAGAAA